ACGAGTATTGTGTGATCAGATTGCCATCGTTGTGAACTTGTCGAACCAAGCCCGAAGTGATTGTTTTGATCGATATAAACAATTTGCACACTTGCTGATTTTCGAATTTCATTTTTACTCCCAATGGAACCCGCATATAAATCTCTTGACATCTAGCTAATGAAGTACCCAATTCTCATTTACTGCTAAGGATAGTAATACCCTCACAGTGTTGAGTTTCATAATCCGAGAAAAAGTCTCTTGATAGTCTACTCCGTAAAGTCTGAATGAACCCCTTTGCCACAAGTCAAGCCTTATACTGTTCAATAGTCATTCGCCTTGTATTTCAAGGCAAAGACCCATTTGCAACCAACTAGTTTCTTGTCTTTAGGAAGATCGACAATAATCCAGGTTTTGTTACTTTCAAGCGCTGAAATTTCTTATTCTGCTACCTTATTCCAATCAATTCTTTTTAATGTTTCTTCCATTATGTCCTAAATGTGAATGCCGTTTATTTTAGTTGTAAAATTCTTAAAGTCAGATATTAGTTTACCATAGGCAACAAACTTATTAATGGGATAAGTTGTACACCTCCGTACTCCCTTCCTCTAAGAAATTGATAACTCACTAGTATCAACCAATACATCTAACTTACTCTGACCAACTTCTTCAATTTTCAAGGAATTCAAACCTAGTTCCGGTTCTTGACACTGGTGGGATGTGTTTTGGTCATCGTTTGTATGTAAGAAGATCACCCTCAGAGATAAACAGTGACACGGTGGGGTTGGTGTTCGAGGAGAATGTAGGTCTATTTAACCTTCAGGATCAGAAGTGTTAGCGGTGTTATGTGGCGGTAGAGTTTCAGAAGTTTTTGAAGGAAATAGGGTGACTAGTAGTTCAGCATTAACCGGAAAAAAAATGAAATTCACACTCTTCCCTGAATTTTAGAGTTAGAGAAAAAAAAAAGTTTATTTTCAAGAAATGTAACATCCATTGAAGAAAAAACTTTCTTTGTGGAAGGAGAGTAACACCTATAACCCTTTTAAAGAGAATAGTATCTAACGAAGACACACTGGATTGCCTCCGGATCAAGCTTAGACCTAGAATTGGTATGATCATATACAAAAGCAGTACAACCTAAGACACGGAAAGGAACACTAGTAGTTAATGATTTAAAATGGGGAAAATATAGTAAGAACATCCCGTGGACATTGAAATCCCATAACTTTACTAGGCATGCGATTAATGAGATAAGTAGTAATTAAGAGAGCCTCACCCCAAAGATTGTAACCCCCCCAGACCGATGCGGGTAGCCCGATCCGATTCGGGAAGTCACATTAAGGCCACCGGAGCGACCCACCGTAAAAATAGCGGAAATTTTAAAAACTTTTTATCAGAACATGTAAACTTATAAAATCATTTATCACTATTTAAAAATAAAACAGATTTCCAAACTCGTATATAAATCAAAATACAATTACATGCCCCCTAATCACAAGTACCATACTCTGCAACCACGCCGGAAGAACTCCCTTACTGAAGTCGATAGATGCACTGGTACAATTGTTTTAACCTGAAAATGTGAGTAATAGAGTGAGCTTTGGGAAGCTCAGTAATACAGAACTACCAGATGATGCTACATGACATGTAGATAAATGGAAAGCCATATAATTTCCTTATTGAATCATATGTATACCAGCTTGCAGAATAATTTGGGGTTCCCTTAGAAGTTCATCGAGTAGAAGCCATGAATCTCAGTTCATAAGAAATCTTTCATACTATCACGTTTTCATGAGGTCGAACAGGATATCTAGTGTGTTCTATCAGTACGATAAAATCATAATAGGTACACTAATCAAATGATAGTTCAGTAAAATCCCATAAAGCATACTGTAGTGGAGCTTTTTAAACTCGTATTTTAAAACCATCTTACAAAGAGTTAACCTAAGGGAACATCTTAGGGCCTGAGAGCCTACCCAAGAAAGTTCGGGCCACGGGGCCTACCTAAGAACACATCTTAGGGCCACGGGCCTACCCGAGAATGATCTCAGGGCCGCAGAGCCTACCTAAGAGTCACATTAGGTCCATAAAATTTCTAGCTTGATCAGAGCTGTACTTTACAAAACTGTATATCCAAGATACAACTTATACCGTGATACAAATCCTAAGCCATCACCATTAGTCGGCGCATCCATAAAACAGTAACCATAAATTTCAGTGTACCACATGTTAAAACATAAACAATTTATTAAAATATAAGGAACACACTAGAGAAATCCCAATATTTATCAGAGGCATTTTGTAGTCATCAGAATGGATAACATGACTTGTGCAATTTGATCGGATTCCAGGAATAAGATCTTATTGAAGAGAATCAATTTCTAACCGATCTAATCAGACATTTCAAATTGATACTTTAGAATTCCACTAATTTCCACTGCATCAGAAAAACGTTCAGGAACCTTTATACATAATATTCTAAATTCAGATTTACTGCGAGTGATTCCATTACCCAACAATCAGGGGTATTCAGGAATATACTTTGAATTCATAGGATTTCAACCCAATTGTACCAATGAGGTATTCAGAATCTTTTCCTTCTGCATTACTTGCGTTTTCAAACATGACCGAATTGATTTTAGATCAAAATATGTAATCGAAGATTCAAGTCATTTACGATCTATGACTATCGATAGTATTATCAAACAACTCAAGTTACACAACTCACAGACTGATGCATGTCAACAAATCAATTCATTATCCTTCCAATGCATTCACTCTTTAATACCAAAATGCATATCAATAGATCATCCCCATAATTATCGCTGAATAGATCTTCCAACGGTCTTTATTACATTTCCATGTTTCAACGATATCAGAAAATATGGACGTACTTGATTCATGTTCATAACCCATAAGGACAATTCATACAGTGTTTCCAAACTCATCCAATCACCTATTTAATCCTCGGTCATTGAGGTTACTTAGTTCATTTAGTAAGCAAGTTTATCCCGTTACTTTAGAGTTTTCCAGAATAGTTCAGACATTTCTGAATCTCAAATACATGTTGCACTTCCTTTCAATTCAATTTAGTCATATAATAAAGTCATTCGGTATTCGTGGTTGATTTATCTCACGAACACCCACTTATTAGTACTGTATGCATTCTAAAGTTGAGCTGAACCAAGTACTTCCAGAATTATCATCGATCCAAATTTGAGAAGACGAACAAACATTCAAGTGGTATTTATATCATTCAGGTAATGATATAGCACTAGCGTTGGTTGATCACTTAAGTTGCGTTTCATAACTTTTACTGGTAGCACAACATCCATGTTTATTTGGATTTCTTAATTAATCCAAGACATTTACTTATTCTAGGTCATAAGGGCATTTTGGTTCTCAACGTTTTTCTATTCATTACAAGCTTTGAGTATATCCATTCATTCATGAGCTTGGTGACATTCTTGAGTCATTTCCATTCCAGGGGTATTTTGGTCATTTTACAGATCCAATGTATTTCCATCATTTCCTTACGTCCAATCTTATTATTTAATTTAATCTTATCACTTACTTCAGTCCTTTCAAACAATTCTGACCAAATAACACATTCGATAAATCATTCTCAGTATTACTCAATTCGGTAATTTCCAGGTTAAATATCTTTTCAAATGTTACTAACGAATTTTCAGAAAATTTTCCATACAAAGGTAGGATCTCAACAACCAAATCAGTAATTTATCGATTTAAAAACAAATTCTCAGGTTACTCTATCATTCAGAGTCAACTTGGACTATTTTACCTCTCAAGGGCATTTTCGTAATTTCTTAACCAAATAATTTCGGTATTAACTCTTAACAAAAAATAATATAATTTGGAGATCCTATATTAATTGCTTTCCCGAACATTCTTTGATCTTGAAATGATTCTTTAACCGACTTCTAGTATCTTGCACAACCCTCGGTTAAAAACCGGTTATCCGTATTTCCTAAGCAAAACTAGCATTTCTTATGCACATATGAAATTTTACCGAATCAATATATCTTTTCAGAGTTATTAACCAACTTCCAAGGACAATTCTTGTCATCTTACAATAAAGGGTATTTTCGTAATTTTACCCTACCGGAGTATTCTCATAATTTCTCATCCAGTACCTTTAACATTTAACCTTTGATGATATAAATATAATTTACAATCCATGGCCAATTTCTTTATCACTAATCACAACTTGTAATTTAATTCTAACAATCTTTCAATCTCTTATATTAGTCATTCGATCCATATTCAGTTACTGAATTTCTACCACATTCATATCGAGTGTATAAATTATTCAACTCCACAAAAGTGACCAACATTATCTTATCCATGCATTTACCAATATCACATGTTTCATAAAGCATAAAGAGTAGTAAAGTATTACCTCGTTTTCCATGCCATACTGATCGACCATTTAAATTCCATTCGAACGCCCTCGATCTTGAAGTTAATGTCGAATAATTCCTCGATACAAGGAAACCGAATTTACGTCAGAAACGGAACTTATTGAGAAACCATATTGAATCTGAAGATAAATCATTGAAAACAGCTCACCGGTACGAATTTGGCAAAACGAACTTCGGATTTGGACTCAAGACGTCGATAAAACCCAAACAATAACTCTTGAATTCAAGCTCATCAATCTCAATTTCTAACTTCCAATCTTTATCTCAAGAACCCAAACCTTCAAATATACGAACCCAAATATAAAATAAATTCCTCGCCATAAAATAAATTATTAAAAATCCTTTTTATAATAGAGGCACATAACTGACCAAGTTAAGAACTCAAAGAGCCAATTTAATACTTATCTACCAAGGTGAGTGACCAAAATAATCTTATTCAACCATTAGACAACATTCATAACTTTATAGAAACTAGAAGACAAAGTTGAATTCTCACCAAACTTGGATGACTCGTGTTGTGATTTACCCTTCATCCTTTATTAATTTTTTCAAACAGCCCACGTGCTCTCTCTTTTCTATTCATGGTTTTCTTATTTCCTTCCTTCTTTCACTCATCAATTCATGCATGCGTTCAGGGCTCTTTACAGCTTCTAATATAGTGTCTAAAATAAAGATAAGGAATCTAGGCACAACCGCATGAGGGCGAACGATAGTGACTATGGAGAAAGGTAGGGAAAGGACGTGATATCCACCAACTAGTGCCATTATAATCACACAAAACATGAATGTGGGGAGATCATCATAACTGGCTTCGAACTGTAAGAATTGGGTGAAGAAAGGAAGCGTTTCATCACTAGTTCTCATGGTGGCAACTGTAGCTAAAGCTGCAATAAAGAAGGAAGTCAGAAATACCCAACCCTTTCTTGAATCCGCTCTTTTGCTCCCTGGCAGTAAAAATGAGAGGCGCTTTGCCTTTTTCAAGGGCACTCAACTCCGGGACATTAATGGCTGAGTGATCTCCGCTCTTCATTCATTTATTTATTTATTTTTTTGAGGTAAGAGAGAGACGATCCCATGCGAAATGCTCCACACTGCCAACACTATCAACGAAATGTTTTCGATTTAATATGGTACAAAGAAACCCCAATCTCCAAGAAACTGGTCAGCAAGAACTCCCAAAAACCATGTTATCCCAACTACTGTGAAAAGAAATGTTGCATCATTTCAAACACTTGGAATTGCAAGATTTTCTGCATTTTTAATACTGAGGCTATTCAACTCCCGAAGAGATGTATGTATGCTTATGCGTATGCAGGCTAACATTTGAGTGATCACTTTTCCCAAAACTTCAGACTCGATATCGAAGACTAACCGTACGACGAGAGACATACGACTGTGAACTCCATTTCTTGGCCCATCCAGTTTCAGTAAGTTGAATCAAGTGCCTCTTTCACGGCATCACTGTCTTTCTTGGAAATGAAATATTCAAGAGAGTTGAGGTCAACAAATGAAGGCTGTCTCTCTTTAGTAGAATACCTCTGGTGAGATCAAAAGGCGGTGACAGAGAGATATGGATAAGGATAGGGTGTTGGGGCAGACACTTGAGGAAAGTTTTCAATGCAAGTGGATAAAAAAATCCTTATTTTATTTCCTATCTCACCCAACAATTTATCTGTATCCTACCTAATTCATTATCCTCAATTTGTTTAATAAACTACTGGTCTGATAAAAAAATATTATTTGCCAACCAAACTTCATATCACTTCACAATAACAAAATAATTTATTCTAGAAATCTCTTAAATTTATAATAACAAAGGAGGAGAAAATTATAACTAAAGTCCATGAATTTTCTCCAAAATTCTTTTGAACCCAATACTTTAATTAAAAAGTTATTTAATTTCCATATTTAATATAGAAGAAACATAACCCCTAAATTGGGGTGTGACAATTCTCCCCTCCTTAAAAGAATTTCGTCCTCGAAATTAAATCTAGTCACAGAATTTCAGAAATGAAATTTTCATCAGTTCTTTCATATCTTCTAGTAACTTTTACAAAAGTATGAGTCATCTACTAATCTATACCCAACTGAGTATACACTTTATTCATAACTCTTCCTCATTCCAATGAAATAATCAGAACGAAAATATTCTTGTGAAATCAATTCAGCCATGATTACGAAAATAGGCCCATAGAGCAATAACATATCCCAATTTCATTTCTGGAGTTGGTTCGAAATTTCTCAAATGAGTAACTATTGCATGGCTCGTGAAGTACTTTTCCAAATTCAAATAGACATTTCTGATATTTATTTATGTAAAGGTAGAGTCCTAACAGATAGAAAACTTAGGTTTGCTCATTATAGATAAGGACTCGACCTTGGAGTTCCGGCTCAGAGTAGTACGATTATAGTCTAGGGGCATGTACTGATTAGACATCTTTTGAAATTCGACCGGCCGATCTATCTTGAAAATTTTGACTCAAACCAAAGCTCTGATACCACTAAATGTAACCCCCCCAGACCGATGCGGGTAGCCCGATCCGATTCGGGAAGTCACATTAAGGCCACCGGAGCGACCCACCGTAAAAAGCGAAATTTTAAAACTTTTTATCAGAACATGTAAACTTATAAAATCATTTATCACTATTTAAAAATAAAACAGATTTCCAAACTCGTATAATCAAAATACAATTACATGCCCCTAATCACAAGTACCATACTCTGCAACCACGCCGGAAGAACTCCTTACTGAAGTCGATAGATGCACTGGTACAATTGTTTTAACCTGAAAATGTGAGTAATAGAGTGAGCTTTGGGAAGCTCAGTAATACAGAACTACCAGATGATGCTACATGACATGTAGATAAATGGAAAGCCATATAATTTCCTTATTGAATCATATGTATACCAGCTTGCAGAATAATTTGGGGTTCCCTTAGAAGTTCATCGAGTAGAAGCCATGAATCTCAGTTCATAAGAAATCTTTCATACTATCACGTTTTCATGAGGTCGACAGGATATCTAGTGTGTTCTATCAGTACGATAAAATCATAATAGGTACACTAATCAAATGATAGTTCAGTAAATCCCATAAAGCATACTGTAGTGGACTTTTTAAACTCGTATTTTAAAACATCTTACAAAGAGTTAACCTAAGGGAACATCTTAGGGCCTGAGAGCCTACCCAAGAAAGTTCGGGGCCACGGGCCTACCTAAGAACACATCTTAGGGCCACGGGCCTACCCGAGAATGATCTCAGGGCCGCAGAGCCTACTAAGAGTCACATTAGGTCCATAAAAATTTCTAGCTTGATCAGAGCTGTACTTACAAAACTGTATATCCAAGATACACTTATACCGTGATACAAATCCATAAGCCATCACCATTAAGTCGGCGCATCCATAAAACAGTAACCATAAATTTCAGTGTACCACATGTTAAAACAATAAAACATTTATTAAAATATAGGAACACACTAGAGAATCCCAATATTTATCAGAGGCATTTTGTAGTCATCAGTATGGATAACATGAACTTGTGCAATTTGATCGGATTCCAGGAATAAGATCTTATTGAAGAGAATCAATTTCTAACCGATCTAATCAACACATTTCAAATTGATACTTAGAATTCCACAAGTTTCCACGTGCATCAGAAAAACGTTCAGGAACCTTTATACATAATAATTCTAAATTCAGATTTACTGCGAGTGATTCCATTACCCAAACAATCAGGGGTATTCAGGAATATACTTTGAATTCATAGGATTTCAACCCAATTGTACCAATGAGGTATTCAGAATCTTTTCCTTCTGCATTACTTGCGTTTTCAAACATGACCGAATTGATTTTAGATCAAAATATTAATCGAAGATTCAAGTCATTTACGATCTATGACTATCGATAGTATATCAAACAACTCAGTTACACAACTCACCGACTGATGCATGTCACAAATCAATTCATTATCCTTCCAATGCATTCACTCTTTACCAAATGCATATCAATAGATCATCCCCATAATTATCGCTGATAGATTCCAACGTCTTTATTACATTTCCAGTTTCACGATATCAGAAATATGGACGTACTTGATTCATGTTCATAACCCATAAGACATTCATACAGTGTTTCCAAACTCATCCAATCACCTATTAATCCTCGGTCATTGAGTTACTTAGTTCATTTAGTAAGCAAGTTATCCCGGTTACTTTAGAGTTTTCCAGATAGTTCAGACATTTCTGAATCTCAATACATGTTGCACTCCTTTCAATTCATTTAGTCATCATAATAAAGTCATGCATTCTAAAGTTGAGCTGAACCAAGTACTTCAGAATTATCACGATCCAAATTTGAGAAGACGAACAAACATTCAAGTGGTATTTATCATTCAGTAATGATATAGCACTAGCGTTGGTTGATCACTTAAGTTGCGTTTCATAACTTTTACTGGTACACAACATCCTGTTTATTTGGATTTCTTAATTAATCCAAGACATTTACTTATTCTAGGTCATAAGGGCATTTTGGTTCTCAACGTTTTTCTATTCATTACAAAGCTTGAGTATACCATTCATTCATAGCTTGGTGACATTTGCGTTCATAACTTTTACTGGTAGCACAACATCCATGTTTATTTGGATTTCTTAATTAATCCAAGACATTTACTTATTCTAGGTCATAAGGGCATTTTGGTTCTCAACGTTTTTCTATTCATTACAAAGCTTTGAGTATATCCATTCATTCATGAGCTTGGTGACATTCTTGAGTCATTTCCATTCCAGGGGTATTTTGGTCATTTTACAGATCCAATGTATTTCCATCATTTCCTTACGTCCAATCTTATTATTTAATTTAATCTTATCACTTACTTCAGTCCTTTCAAACAATTCTGACCAAATAACACATTCGATAAATCATTCTTCAGGTATTACTCAATTCGGTAATTTCCAGGTTAAATATCTTTTCAAATGTTACTAACGAATTTTCAGAAAATTTTCCATACAAAGGTAGGATCTCAACAACCAAATCAGTAATTTATCGATTTAAAAACAAATTCTCAGGTTACTCTATCATTCAGAGTCAACTTGGACTATTTTACCTCTCAAGGGCATTTTCGTAATTTCTTAACCAAATAATTTCGGTATTAACTCTTAACAAAAAATAATATAATTTGGAGATCCTATATTAATTGCTTTCCCGAACATTCTTTGATCTTGAAATGATTCTTTAACCGACTTCTAGTATCTTGCACAAACCCTCGGGTTTAAAAACCGGTTATCCGTATTTCCTAAGCAAAACTAGCATTTCTTATGCACATATGAAATTTTACCGAATCAATATATCTTTTCAGAGTTATTAACCAACTTCCAAGGACAATTCTTGTCATCTTACAATATAAGGGTATTTTCGTAATTTTACCCTACCGGAGTATTCTCATAATTTCTCATCCAAGTACCTTTAACATTTAACCTTTGATGATATAAAATATAATTTACAAATCCATGGCCAATTTCTTTATCACTAATCACAACTTGTAATTTAATTCTAACAATCTTTCAATCTCTTATATTAGTCATTCGATCCATATTCAGTTACTGAATTTCTACCACATTCATATCGAGTGTATAAATTATTCAACTCCACAAAAGTGACCAACATTATCTTATCCATGCATTTACCAATATCAACATGTTTCATAAAGCATAAAGAGGTAGTAAAGTATTACCTCGTTTTCCATGCCATACTGATCGACCATTTAAATTCCATTCGAACGCCCTCGATCTTGAAGTTAATGTCGAATAATTCCTCGGATACAAGGAAACCGAATTTACGTCAGAAACGGAACTTAATTGAGAAACCATATTGAATCTGAAGATAAATCATTGAAAACAGCTCACCGGGTACGAATTTGGCAAAACGAACTTCGGATTTGGACTCAAGACGTCGATAAAACCCAAACAATAACTCTTGAATTCAAGCTCATCAATCTCAATTTCTAACTTCCAATCTTTATCTCAAGAACCCAAAC